CAAAAATGCATTACAAACCAATAATAAAAGTTTCATTTTAGCATATATTTATAAGCCAACTGATTTATAGGTCTGGCTCTATTAATTGAAGGTACAGATTGTAGGCCACGTTATAAGCTTTGCTCTGATGGCACAAGTAGATGTGACAGCTAATGCCGTGCTGCTAGCTATCACCCCCACTGACTCCTGGGTAATCAGTGTCACGGCAACAGTGACAGACGTTCATCACTTCAGACATGGCCAGTGTGGTAAAAGTTGAGGGGTCAAGAGAAAATAAAGCAGAGAGCCGGGGCGAGCAAACAAACACCCACAGAGGCTGCTGAGGCTCTGAAGGCAGAGAACATGTCCAGTGACTCAAGAGAACACGAAAAGCACCAAAGGGGATGTTTATTTTTGTCAGCGCTGTTAATTCCCCTCTCCTGAGGTCTGCCGTCCCCTCAATATTGTATCAACACTACTCCAACCTACAAACAGCCTGTAGCCACGCAAAACTGTTGTCGATGATAAGGATTAGTAACATTCTAGTTAGAAACGCTCTGAAGGCCATGAGGACAAAGTGTTTGAACTATGAGAAAACAAGGTGTTCAATAAAATGAATCACCTCATTTAGCATCTATAGTAGCAGCATTGATGGTAATTAGTAGTGTGGAATCTTAGAGGGTGAAGTCATAAGAGTATAATAACGACATCTTAGGAATCACTGCCAAGTTATTACTAGTTTATATCTGACAGTGTATATCTGTATTGAAGATTTTGTAGTTCCTTTATTTTTCGGCCCCCAAAAATCCATATTGTTCATGCTCTAGAGTAAAGAACAAATGTCATGGTATTTTCCTCCCTGCTTGGAGTCTTAAGGTGACAACAAGAAGATGGCTGAGAAGTACTAAAAAAAACTGAAAACCTTCATGTGACATTTTTATACTTTAATACTGGTTTCTCGCAGTTTGAAGAAATGATATATAGCTTGTTCATGGTGAACTTTGGAGGAACTCTGACTTATGTTGGCTTTGGAACAGAGCCAGGTTAACTTCCATATGTTTCTAGTCTTAATTCTAAGCTGTGCTATAACTCCTGCTACATATTTACCAAACAGACGATCCGTCAAGTGACTTCTGAGCATGAGAGCAAATAAATGTATTTCACAAAATGCTGAAAAACGTCTTAAAAGGTAAGTGTCAATGAATAAATGAACCTGCATTACATTTCAAAATACAACACAGCATCATGGACTGTGACTGTGTGAATCAGAGAAGTGATAAAACAAAGACATCCACCATCAGCAAAGCATTAGTGCGACTACAACCCGACAGATTCATCATGAGCAGGATCTCTACCAGAGATGAAGAGACACTGGTTTCTAAACAGCAGTTGGCTATGAACAATAATTAGCGGTGGGCGCGGGGCTATCAACATGATGCTGAAGAAGATCCCAGACAAACTCAATGTGTGGAGAGACTGTGCTGCCACAATAACGCAAACATCACAGTGGGATTACTGCTTTCCCACGGGCGGTGCGACTGTTCGTAATTAGATGTGACATTCTGCCTCCACCACGCTGATCCGCAGCTGAGGTACTGAACCAGCCAATCAATCACCCTTTTTATTAATACAGGTGACCCATAATGCTCCCCCTGACGTCCGATGACTGATGCCCAATGCATATGCCGAGTTCTAATGTGGTCACAGAGGCACTATTTTTAATTACTTTATATTTTTTTAATGTAATTTTGGTCAGTTTTCATATTAACAAGTTCAGGCTCATGTAATTACTGTACAGCAGTATAGTTCTCCATAGTGGATAAGTAAATACATAGGTATAACCCTTAGGGCTAACCCTAACCCTCTAGTCAGAATAGACTAATTAGGTATTTGTTTGCCTGCCTCTGTTTACATGTCCCGTGAAAAAATACTAATCCACCTGCTCAGCATGATAATATATTCATCAAACTAATATTAAAGTGGCTGTGGCTTAGGCACAATAATGGATCGTCCTATAATCTGAATGTCAGCGGATCAATCCTCAGCTCCACATGCCATGGAAAGTCACATCTTTTTCACTATTTTCAAAAACACAACAGACAAACCAACACACGATTACACCACAATGTGATCAGGAGGCAGGAGGACATAATGCAACCACACACATTTGGTTTTGAAATCCCTCTTAATTTTGTCCCTAAACAGCAGCCGTCCCTGCAGGCGAGCTGCGAGGAACCCTGACATTACTTACGTGATTATTTTGGAGGTTTTCCAGTAGGCTTGAGTCATTAAATCCAGCCTCCTCTGACGAGTGTGTGCTGTGACTGGAAAGAGGAGACAAAGGAGTCAAAACAACAGAACGGGCTGGAAGAGTTGTTAGCATCACTGACGGCGCTGACAGCCGACTAGAGCGTGTTGTCGTGACTGTAGATTAGAAAAATAATTTGCATCATAATCAGAGAATATTCTGACAACTGGCCTTTACATAAAAGTACAGTTGTGTAGCAGCATCTGAGAGATTTCCAAATACAGAATAAAGCAGATCAATCTCTCAAGCACCAACAGCAAAAATTAAACCTCTTGAAGTCTGTATAGAAAACGTTGAGTCTTATAATGAATTATCTGTTACTGTGCAGTCTAGCAGAGGACTTGAATGTGGTTTGCAATGACACACAGCATTCCAGCAAAGACCTAAAGATAAAATCATCAATTTACAATTTCACTGGTTTAACCAAATTAACAAAATGCAAAAAAAGAAGAGCCCATTCTAATTGTTCTGAGCCCAATATGATGTATTCAAAGTCCTTGATTTTCAAACAATACACCAAGGCATGATGGTTATTTTACTATTGCACTGTACATGACATAAGTTGAAACATTAGAGAAGCTGGAAGCCTTAAATCTTTGGCCTTTTTGCTGAAAAATGACAAACTATAAATTATCATAATAGCTAAATTTTCTTTTTAATTAACTTCTCAACAAATTGATTTAAAAAAAAATCAATTTCAGCTCCAGATGAATTTACTTTGCAGTGAAACTGAACTGACCAGGTCTTACACAGGTATTTACAGAGCCATGCTGTGTGCCGATAGTATTGATGTTTGTTGAGAAAAATATCAACCGCAATGCAGACAGAGTGAAAATGCAGCCCCCCCCCTCCCCTTCATCTTGATGTGATGTACAATGTGGACATTATTTCATATTCACTTGTGTCATTTCCATAGATAATAAATTATGTTTCCCTTTGCGTTAGAAATCAAACAATGCAAGAGAAAATGCTTACAGGGACAAAACAAACCATATAACTCAAACATTAATCAAAGAACACTCTTGATAAATTACAGGAAAAACAATTAGTCTCTCACACTTGCAGCAGAAATGACTTTTGTTGCTGGCAAGATGCAAAATAATAAATATCTTAAATTCCATCAGCAAAAGAAAAACACGCATTAAATCTCTCAACGGCAACAGAACGTCATGCTGGACTGTAGGAAGAAAATTAGATTAAAGAGGAGCTTTTAATTGATAAAAGATAAGGGTGTGAGTTTATCTCTAACAGTGGCTTAGGCCAGTGATTTTCTATGTAGCCACCAGCTGCTCACTGGCTCCCCAGTGGAGATCGATTCATGATTCTGTGATAAATAGAGTCCTATAGATCAGGTAGACAGCAGCTTTGTCAGTGGCACCAGGGCTTGATAGAAATGTTACAGAGGATACCATTAGCAGGCATTGAGTCTTTCTAATCCCACAGGATGCACTGTTCAGAACGCAGAGAGCCGAGCAGCCAGCCGGCCAGTAATACCTCCGTCTACTACGCTGCAAATAGAGGTTTGGGAGGAAAAGAAATATAGGAAAAAAGACACGGTGCAATTAAAACCCAGGGCTGGAATCGATATTGTGATACAAGACATACACTGGAGGTTAGAGGAATATATCACACTCAGAGGCTCTATTAAAATATGTCAGTGGAGAATTGGAAAACAAAGTCTGCATTTCTAAATGCTCCAGGAGCCTAAACACTAAGGAGGACAGATAGCTTTGTTTTCCATCATATACGGTGGAATAAATCTATAGAGGAGTTTGTTTCTATGCAGCCTGTATGACCTTACACTGCTTCTAGAGATCTAAGCTATTTTTCAGCTCCAGTATTCATATGTCAAATGCAAACGTGCAAATTCTGCAGCAAAGATGAAAAAGCTAAGAAGATCTATGGAGTCACTATTACACGTAGTAATCCTGATACAGCAAAGAGCCAGAATCTCTTCTCTCTTGCAGTAGTGGATATCTTAGGCACGAGGCCGGGTGTGGAGGACGGACAGTAATTGATTATCTGCCAGCACACACAGGTCCTGTCACTATGGGAACAAGGGTGCTGGCTGTTCACAGTCAATAACAGGGAACTGCTTCGAGATCAAACGTATGACACACCCTGTTGTCTGCTTAAGAGGAGGAAGAAATACATTTTACAACTGACCCTAAGATGAGGAAAGGTTTTCTCAGTTTTGACCCTGCATTGAGATAAGCGTTGAATTACATTGACCACCATTTACAAGTTCTTCTCATGATGTTGAATTTTCTTCAAAAATACACATTTTAACTCTAATAACTAAAATTTAAAAAACTTAACTCAAACCTATCGATTTTCTATCGATCATCAAGCAACGCAACACAATTTTTCATTTGCTCCTAGATCTTTAACCTATTTCGTGTATGAATAAAACCTCTAACTCAGTAGAAACATGCTTTGATTGAGGCAGATCATTCTTTTAAAGCAGCAATGGTTCAACAATTTGGCACAATAGGTGTTAACAAACAGGCCCCAATCCCTCATGCAAAATTAAAGAGACACGCCCATGCTGTTCCTGCATATCTCAACACTTCAGCAGATGGATCTCAGAAGTAGGACTGTATGAGTGAGAGTGTGTGAGTGTTGTGAGCAGATGGAGAATAAGTGGGTGCATCTCCAAAGTCAGTTTGATGTTAACGGGAGAAGTAGGAGGATGCGCTGAAGAGCTTCAGCCTCTACACAACATACAGTAAACACTAGAAAGCTCGGGATCTATTGAACCTGCTAAATGTACCTAAGAAGTTATCAATAACAATTCTGTCACGATCCTGGAACATTTGTGTGAGACCCTTCGATCACACACTGAATCACAAGCCACAGTCACATACAACACATCCCAAGTCCACTGAACATACAAGAGAAATAACAGCGTACATATATTGAAATATTGTGTTCAAAGTCAAGATTTCCACAAGGCAAGGCAGCACTACATCACAGAAGCAGAGAGTGAAGGAAAACAACAACAACCACTATTTCACACGCGGCCATCTTACCAGTCGTCCTCCGCAAAACTACCCTCCTCAGCCTCAGGGACGTGACTGTTGGAGCGAAGGTGGAGAACAAAAATCATGTTGTTGACAGAGTCGACCATTAACATGTTGTGGGAGTGTGCGGGTGCCGGGATCTTAGTAAAGATGAGGATAGATTATGAGGAGTATGACAGCCAGGAGGGACTGTAGCTGAGGTGCAGGGGTTAGGTTGAGAGCAGTGATAAGAGCAGGCCAGCTAATCATGTCGGTATTTGTTAAAAATGCACTCATTGCGAATATTCATCTCTTTTTAATTGCTGCTCTCTTTTTCATTTTAAAATAATTTGAAACAACTGAAATATTTTCAGTCACTTTCCATTTCTTGCAAGTGACTGACATTATAGAAGCTGCTTCTTAACTCACATAAATAAATAAACTACAATCATGATCTCGATATATGCTGTTCTATATATACTGTTTTTGTCAAATGTTGTACACTAATGTTTTGGATAAAAGTTATATGTATGAGTCAGATATTTATGAATGAAACTGGTATAAAAGCAAATATATGTGCATCAAATTACCGTCGTAAAATCTGAAAAGTGACGAGTAAACGTCATGTCGCAGTATATTTTTTTTATCATACATGACAAGAAGAACTTGTCCAGAATCCTCTGGAGATGTAAGACTGATAGTAAAAATATACACATATATATTTGTACTATTATGCAGTAACAAAACAATGAATCAATTTGAATTGGAAAAGTGAAATATAATAAGAGTTAAGAAAATGAGAGATATAACAACTGAATTTTGTCACTTGGGGACATCTAGAAAATGTGCTTTCATTCCTGTCTTGACAAATAACACCCAGGAGGATTCTGGGAGCTTCTCTGACCTGCACAATATCTCTCTTTGAGAGTTGGACTCCAATCCAGTGGAATTAATTAATGTCTGCACCCTTGGGGTTGGTTTTATTAATTACAGCAGCACTTAATTTGTGGCGACGAACACATGCAGGCAGCATTATCAGGGGGGCTGTGTGTGTGTGTGTGTGTGTGTGTGTGTGTACCAAATTACATGTCTCACACATACTAAGTGCTGTCCACGTGCCTGTGCTCTCATTTGTACTAAAGAAAAAAAATTTTCATCTTTGTTTTTACTCAAATAATCAAGAATACCCAGATACATCTGAAGTAGAGCTAAACAATTAATAAGGTGTTGTGCTGGAAAAAGGATTTAAGTATATTTATTCCAGAAGTAAAGACATGTTACTGACAGAGAATCTATAGCATATTTACTCAACAAAACCTGGGAAGATGGGGTAGGAAATGAAAAGGAAGTGCCAGCCATCAACCAGATATGATGATCAGGAATTTATCATGTGTTTATTTAATTAAATATCTTTATATCAAACTGAAATGAATGATTCGGCTGGATATGTTTAATATTGTCAACAAATCCCATCAATTCTGTCTCCCAGCACTTTCTGATATCCCTACATTTGGCACTCCAAGACCACTGGTTCCTACGAATGCATTATGTAAGTCTTTTAAAAATAGACTAAGAAAATATATCAGTTCTAAATGGAACAGTTGAACAGCTGGGTGCTCCAGCTTTTACAAGATACAAGTCCAACAGGAGCAAATAGTTCTTCTGCTTGTATTTTGAACTGTGATTGAAGTATTTAACCATAGCTGGACAGTGTGTGATCAAGTCAATATTATATAAATCCCCTGTGAAATCATATTGAACAAACTAGTTTTCACCAACAATAAAAGTCTATATTGATGAGGAAGATTACAAATCATGTTCTGACTACACAGGTTTGTTTGTTAGTGGGTTACACTGATTCTTGTTTTGGCTTTCCATTAAATTTGTTAACAGAGAGAACGTTTCCCAAATATTTGCATAGAAATAGCAAATTGCTATGCTAGCAATATTTCTGATCTTAAAAAGAGTTGTGAACTTTATTAAAAATGAAACCACAAGCACTCGGGAGCCAAGGTGCGTCATTCGCCACCTGGTGGCTGGCTGCAGTAAAGGTCAAGAATCCTGCCTCCTCTGTGTCAAATACATTTTAGCTTCTGTCTTTTTATGTACTTCTTATCACATTGATGGTACATTCAAGTTTAGTTGTAATCAGTTGTTCTATGCTATTAAAACGAGGTGAGGCATCATGATCGGAAGCTGACAGTATCGACTTAGTTGCTACAGTTCCATCCCTGAGCGCTACTGCAAAGACTCTGACTCGGAATGCACAAGATGGGAGCATTTGTATCTGAGATATTTTGACCTTATTTCTGGATAGTATGAGGAAGTGGAGAAGCATCATACATCTTGATTAACATCTGGAATGACATCTAGTCACCAGAAAACAGCAATTTTCAAATATGTGAAACTGCAACTATAATAAATTGATGAATTTGAAACGCAGGGCCTAATTACAACTAACAAAGTAGATTACAGTACTATTACAGTTAATCATGTAATTGTCTGTTGAATTATAAACACAGAACTGTAAACAGCTTCTGAAACTAAACCTCCTGTTTCCTATTTTGTGAGGAAGAAAATGCTTTGCCTCATTAGAACGTTCTCAGAAGTCTTTTTTTCCTGCTACGAAACACTCATCCATATATTTATAAATCAATTGCATAAGAGGGAGTCGTGTTTTTAGAGAATCAAAGGAAGACATCTTTAGTGAAGGACAAAAAGACTGATGTCTAACTTCAATCTAAGCAGGGAGGAGAGTGTGTGTCCCTGATGACTAGAAGGCTTGACCCAAATTCTGTCAAATAAAAAACATACAAAACAAATTAGCATCTAAACAACAAAAATGATACATCTGCCCTTTAATCAGCAGAATTATTTTACAAAGAAAGAAATGTCTCTCTGTCAGCAGCATGTACAATATATATCACTACTTAAAGTGACTTTATATTCATGACCAGGGAACAACAGTCAAATGTTGTCATACTGCATTCACAGCATAATGAAAGCTTTGGAACAGAGAACTCTACTTTTGTCCTTCAGTCTGCACTTCATCAGGCTTTTAATCGAATCCTAATGGGATTAATCATGAACTGTCACACCTGCACTTGCTTTGGTTCTGTGCAGATACTCTGCTGTCCCGCTTGATTTGCATCCGGCGAGGCTAATTATCTGTAAAATGAAATGAGAGTATTTTCACAGGAAAAAAAAACTAAGAGCTGATTCAATGAAATGTGCAAAGGTATTTGTTCTTGTGTCAGTGGAGGTGAAGGAAATAATACAAGGTATGTGTGTCCCCAAAGAGGTCACCAATATTATTTTTCTAACTCATGTCAACATATTGTCAAGCTCTGGACCTTGCTGAGGAGAAACTGAAACACAGTCACAGCCTTCAACATGAAAAACGATGGACGAAAAGGCTGTGAAGGAGAGAGTAAAGTGCCTTTGTAGCAAATGTCTGTCCGCCTTTTATTTATAGTTTATGTTGAGAGGAGCACTGATGCAGCTGCTAATGAGAGGGTGAAGGAGGAGAGAGAAACGCCAGATGTACTATGATGCACACTCTGCATTTAATGAAGGTGATGGGGGAGGCAACGGTACAGGGTGCAAAGGGGGAGGCAGAGAATATTAAATAGGGGGAGGAAACAGGAACCTACCCGTAGGCCACACCCGCAATGGTGCACTTCTTGAACTGCATGACATTGCAGGTCAGGGTCCCCGTCTTGTCAGAGAAGATGTACTTCACCTGTGTGTGTAGAGACAGATTAACACTGACTTCATAGGTATATATAGTTTGATAGATAGGGGAGTTAGCAGAATATAAAGGTGAATTCAAACTGCGTTGTTTACCTGGCCTAATTCTTCATTCAGATTTGAGGTGCGAGCCATGGCAGGTGTGTTTGTGGGCTCATAGAGCATATCAGTGTCCTAAAACCAATCACAAAAGGTTAAGTATACCTTCACTCAAGAAACAACATCTCTGGTAGCAATAACACTTCTTCATTTAAGTCATCTTCATACCAGTTGTTAAAGTGTAACTTAAAAAAAACTAAACGATAAAAACAAACCCTTCTCAGCTGCATCATGATTTCCCCTCAAATAACAAACAAACCAAAAAAAGGCTGCAGAGGCTGCAAGAAGAGGGAGCAACAGAGAAATGCCATAAATGTTGCTAAAAATTCCTCGCTAAGATTTTCATTTAAAGTTTAATGAATGAAAGGGGCTCAGAATAACTTCAGGCAAAAAAAGAAAAGTGCACAATTCCTCAGCAGAGATAGTGAGAGGGGTTGACCTAGTTGCAAAGGATAAAATATTCTGGCGGCTCCCAGATATACTTTGTCATTCAGGTTTCATGTATGTTTCAAATTCACCGATTTCAATTTACATTTTGTGTTCTGTTAAAAATACACTGTGGATCATGGTAAGAAGATTGCTGCAGCAACTATTCAGTGCAACATTCAGATCTTAAACTAATTTCTGGCCACCTGACGGAAAAGCAACAAGCTGAAAACATAACAATCTGGCTTGGTTTTGGTCTGTACCAGTTCCTGAAGGAAATATTTGTCACTTTGGCTGATGACTGCTGCACTATTTTCAAAATTAAGCTGGTAACTTTCATTTGGTGCTAAGCAGATAGAACACAGCAGGTTTTTAGAGCTTCTTTACAACAAACAAAAAAGACATAACTATCTGTGCTGTCATTTAATCCATTGATGTTATAATTCCTTTGAAAGCATGAATCCATCTCAAATTTAAATTAGTTCAGACTCCAACTCACCCAGTTAATGAAAAAGGCCTGGATGAACTTGATGACCTCCAGTGTGACCAGGAGACTGATGGGGATCAGGTTGTTGAACAGGATGATGAAGGTGAGAAAGTTCAGGCCAAAGTTAGCCGCCCCGCCATCTATCAGTGGACGAGTTTTGGACAGAGGGGAGTGATACACAGGAGACTCATCAGTGATGGTTCAGAAATATCAGTTAGTTTCAATGAAAATGCCCAAAGCTACTTTCAGCCAATGATCAACATTATCCCAATGCAGAGGAATGTTTTTGGGCTAACGTTGTGCATTAGCTGGAATTAACCTTTTCTTCCAGCCAACCTCATCCTGCACTGATTAGCAGTCCAATTTAATGTCCCAAAGATTCAAAGTTGCGAACAGGGACTGAAGATTCTCAAATGTCATTAGTGTCACAGCAGCAGCCTTGGCATCCAGCATGATCCAGGCAATGGATTCCACAAAGCACTATGCAAAATGATGCTGGTCCCCCAAAAGCCCCAAACTATTGGTAATGATCAACATGTAACCCCACTGACACCAAACATGAAAACAGGAGGGATGTGATTTACCTTTCCTCAGCTTGCAGGAGGTGCAAATGCTACTTTCCTCAACCCAAGCCTTGAGCTTAGCATTGCAGTTGAAATGGAGAGCCCTAACCCATGACAGTACGATTGCAAAACAAAAAACTGGATGGCATAAAGAAAGTGGCAGAATGGAAGCTACTTCTACAACAACACATAGAGGAGAAAACACTTTTTTTTAAGATGTGGGGAGGAAGACAAACGTACTGGATGCTCTCAAGACAAAGGAGGGAGAGTCAGTCCAAGGCACATTCTCAACCAACAAGGAGTGGAAAAGAGTGGGTGGATTATGCCAGCAGATAAGTTTGGGTGTTAATGATGATCACTACATCACCTTATTTCACTCATTTCTAGAGGACGGCTTGTTATGTGGCATTATGTGAGAATTATTGTCAGATGAGAGGGTGAAACTATGCTGGGTCAGGCGACAAAAAAAAGAAATCTCAACTCAGAGCAAACCAGGTCATGCACAAGCCACATAAGTGCAGATGTACACCTGTTATCTTAAGTATGTGTCATTGCAATGCAACAGCAAAAATCCATAGAACTATCAAGCAAATTAATAACAATTAATCAAGCCGTTGCAGGACATGGAGTGTGTTTATGATTAAATACGTGAACTTCTCATTGGTTTTGTATGGCAAGTATACAACAGTACAGAGGCCACATCTCCTTAACATCAAGCTTAAAGCAGAAGTGGAAACAGAAATTCAGCATGCTGCCAGTATAGTTTATAGTCAGCATAAATTCAATGATATGGAGATAACTGCACAACTACCTACAAAAACTAGCCGTGGTAATTGAATAAATTGTCGTAGGTGATTTTTTTTTCTCTCAATCTGCATAAAATTAAGTTGGAACAATATATAGTCTTAATGCCAGGGATGAGCAGTGTCTGCATTTTACAAGGGGTCAAAGTCAAATGAATAATTCACCAGGCATGCATGATAGCAGGCTTCTGTGACATATGAGCCTTTGTTATGTGTGGTGGTCTAACGTTGATTCTTCGGCTCCTGTCAGCATTTATCGTCCAAATGCAGGGTTGAGAGTGAAGTTACAATAATTTAGGAACTAATGTGGCATCACTGAGTCTGATGTTTAAGATTTGACAATCTTCCCTCCTCTCTCTTTTGTCACAGGTTGGATAATATGCGCTAGACAGAGTCTCAACAGCTCCTTATGGAAGTACAGTCAGTCTCAAGATGGACACCTGCTTTATGACTTGCACTCCCCCCATCAGTGTAATGTCGGTGGTGTTTTAGAAGTGGGATTTAGTGATAGTGAGGACAAACCTTTGCAAAAACCAATAGAAACCAATACAATCTAATATCTGAGGGGTAGTGTAAGTCGTAATGCAGGCTTTAATTGACCAGGGCACAACCTCTCCTACACAGGCCTATCAGGGAACAGAATAATGGCCGGAGTGTCACGATAATCACTTTGCATACCAGAATCAGAGCTTCATCACGTCACATTATCTGTTGCAGTAACTGAGCAGCCTGTGTTTTTTTTTCTATTATGTAATTAGAAACCTTAAATAGAGTTACCGTCTATAATGAATAAAAAATACATGTAAAAAATAAACATGTTTTCAATTCTCCCCATCCCTCCCCTCTTTGTCTGTCCTTTAAAAAAATCCACACCAGGAGAGAAGGCAGCAGAGGCATTTAGAAAATGTCAGCTCCTGCCCCTTGGGGTGCACCACATGTTGTGTTCAAGCAATAAACACATATCAGCCTCCTGCTATGAAAACCTTCCTGAGTACGACCTCATCTCCCTAGCAGTCAAAGTAAATGCTGCTACTGATTTGTTATAAATAATGAGGGGGGAAAAAATAAGATGAGGGTCTGAAGCTTGGAAACTGCAAAGCGTTTAACGCGGCACAAAAAAAATGGAGGAAAAGTGAGACACTGTTTGCATCAGGCACTGAAAATAACTAGAAGAAGGTATAAGAGAGCTGGAGGGGAAAAACCTATTGTTGGATCCCTGGTATGTGCTTGTCCATGGCATGGGCCCATACAAAGTAGGGCAACCATATAGGGGGCGAGGATAGGGGGCTTCATTTGCTTAGCAAAGGCAGAGCTTCAGTAAGGGGTTAGTAAGGGAGGGTCATTCACGGATGGCCAAGGCTTTTAAATGGTTGTTACCTGGAGCTGTTAAAAAAACGACAACAAAGAAAACAACAAAATCAAACAGAACATTAGAAAAGAACAAAAAAGTACAGCAGCGCAGTGATATTCAACCATTTCTTTTTCACTCATTCACAACACATCTATGCATGTCACAGCTGTCTTGTCTCAGTTAACAGGGAATTTACCTATTCCCACATTGCCACATATTTCACTTGTAATGCGAAACATAGTTTAACTGAGGGAAAATAAAAATGACACGACACATACCAGCATTTAAGAACTTAAAAAGATAAAGAAATAAGCTGATATGGACAAGTGAGACAAAGTATGCGGAATAAGAGGAGCAGCATGGGCTGTTGGGACTCTTACAGTTGAGATCCATGTACCAGGCATCATTGCCATACTGGTACTTCCAGATGGTTTGGCCAATGGAGCAAATCAAAGAGATGGCCAGCAGCCAGCCAAACAGCACGAGGATCTGAAAGTTGGTGATGCGTTCCACGTTGGAGAGCTTCAGAGGAGGCCGAGTGGAATTCTGGGTAAACAAATGAGCACACAGTAGTGATTTAAAAAAGAGGAAGTACGACCAATGATGGTTTTCTATTTCTGTGACCTCAAAACAATGACAGGACAAAACATTCAGTTTCATTCAGAGTTACTGCGAAAACATCCTCATTTTTCAAACCCCTGCAGCATAGCTTGTTGTGGTATGGCATAGTGCAACACAAGCAGGTACAGTGCAGCAGAGTATAGCATATCAACAGTTAGTTAAGTAAAGTACAGTGAGGGAAAGTATGGTATAGCATAGCATAGTGAACTATAGTATAGTATAATACACCATAGCATAAAATAGCATAGTACAGTATTGCATAGCATTGTATCTCATGGCATAGCATAGCATAGTATAGTAGAGTAGAGCAGAGCATTGTGACATACTGTTGGCCCACATCACCTAGTCTGTTTTAAAAACTGTATGTTGATTGTTATCACCAGTTCAACTGATGGAGTTTCCTCTTAGATCTACACGTTTCCAAACTGCATATAATACACTCCATATCACATGAGCATGTTTTACCTGCATGAGCTTTGTGTCATGTCCAGTGTAAACCACCACACCATGGATCCACTGGGTGTTCCTCAGCTGCGCTCCCCTCAGTAAGATCTGGTCTGGACCCAGTGGCATTGTGCTGTACAGAAACATCAATGGCATGAGTATATCATAATCACTCATCTCAAAAGAGGATGATAATAAAAAATGACAATGTCTCCGGAAAGATGATGAAATTTTTGTTTGTTAAAGTCTTTGGTTGACAGCGATGTCTGACGCATTTACACAACCAGTGGTGGTAAAGAGAGTCCAGGTTTCTAACTATCGCTGTCTCACCCATTGAAGAATGCTGCATCTCTTAAAACAAAATGTCACCATCCTTTACCGAGTACCAGTGTTTATTCAGGAGAGTTTTATTGTTCCCAACTCAGTGGATTAACCTAAGAGCAGGCATACATCCAACCTCAAATTCATAATTAAATATCACTGAAGCAGGTGCTTTGATTTATTCAGCAGAAATATTCAATAATCCCTAAAATCTCATAATGCACCAACACTGTCTCTGCTGCTGCCTAATGGGCTGTTGAGACTTGAGCAGAGACAGAGAGCCAGAGATTGATCTCAGCAACGGAGCCAACCTGTGTCCATCCAGCCGGATGTTTCCAACAAACTCATAGAGATGGCGGTTCGGGCTCTCGCACTCCATCCGTCCAGACAGTCGCATCAGGCTGTCAATGTCCTTTATGTCTGCAGTAATTTGGAGACCCTGGGGATGCAGTTAAGACCACACAATTTAATGAATTTGTCTTGCAAGCCTGCAGAAGATTCCTCTTAGTTCTTGTATGTAGAATTAAGAATAAAAAATGAAATCACCTGTCTGATTTTAAGGTTTGTTTCTCCATCCAAGTTAGATGTTTCTATGTAGCACATACCCTGTGGTTCACTGTGGTGGAGGGAAAGGATACAGATACTTGGAATATTATTAAAACACAACAATAGTAAAATCTTTTAAGCCATATCATAGTGTATCTAACCTCTGTTTTTCATTATCTTGACTATAATTACATCAAATATCATCTAGCACTAGGACAGAGGATACTGATTATCTCCCAAATATAACTCATCAAATTTTAGTAGGAAAAGGGACTAAAACAGAAAACCACATCACACCAGAGCACCGCAAACAAAGATGCTTCATGCCAGCCTAAAGGCCACTCAGGAGCACAGAACTACAATGAAGTTTTACTGCGTTGAAGTTGCCCATTTAATGTGGGATATATCCTTGGGGCTGGCATGGCACCTTTGTTTGACGTTACCCCAGAGGTTAACAGTCTTTCAAGACAAATATACTGCAAAGGGACGGAGAGTGGAGCAAGAGAGAGAAATGGTGGGGTGATGTGAGCAAGCAGGCATGCTGAGCACAACAATCACAGCAGACAAATGGGCCTCAGATGGACTCTGGGCACGGGGACAGAGAGTTAGAGCATGCTGGTGCTTAAGGTGAGCCGGGTTGCTGGTTAGCGACTCTTTTAACAGAGTGATTTATTCAAACGGAAAGCCAGTCCAAACACACGCAAAGGGTGAGGGGGGGGATCAAAAAGAGATCTGGACACTGGAGCCTGACCACAATCAATGAGAGGTTTGGAATCTGCTTCTATTAACAACTGAATGAGAGTTTTGTTAAACTGAAAAGAGTAGACGTCTGCCAGGTATGGGAAGGAATACTGCCTCAGTGCTGATTCTGCATTACTTAACTACATATATTGCTGAAATAGCATTAACAAGTTGTGAAAAGTTAGCCAAACAATAAGTCCAAGATGGATTTCACCTTTTCATCTTGGAATGTGACAGCATGCAAATGTCACATCAAATTAAATCGTGGCATTCATGGTGCCGTACAAGCCATGCATGGGCAGGGATATGGACACTATATTCACACCTAAAGGACACTCTCAAAGGAGCATGTGGTCCTGTGCTAAATGTTTCCATTCACTTGCAGTTTTAAGAGGTTTCAGCCTGAGTGAAATCAGCCTCAGCAACATTGAAAAGGGTCTATTGTATATGTTATTTTGTAAAACAAAGTATAAGACGATAAAATGACTGTAAAAAAGGCAAACAATGTCGCTGCCAAACCACAAAGTAGCGGAAAAGTAGAAAAAACATGGTGTTCATTGACTGTGGCACTTATATATCTGCCTGTTGCCAGAATGATCAGAGGCCTATTCTATCCCAGGTGTGGAAAATAAATTATTATGTATTTGCGTCAGGAGTGACAGAAGTGCTAAGAATGTCTCGTCCCAGTCAGTACACATGGCCCTGTCTCTCCCACCGCTGTTTTGTTGGTAATGTCGTTGGTTTCCTGACCTGGACGACAGAATGACGAGGTCAGCCGGGAGGTGATCCCCATTTGCAGCTCTGACTACTTCCCCAACAGCCACCTGATATTACCACACACCAGCAGGGGGTGAGATAGAGAAAGTGTGGCAGTTGATCGCACAAGGAGCAAGGGAGAACAGGATGAGAGGGGAAGGAGGGGTGGAGAAGGGGATAAAAAAGAAATAAAACCCAGACAGACAACAACATAAAAGGGGAGAGAGACAACGGTTTCAGTTTTAGGGGGATGAGAAGAGCACAATGATCAGTCCTGTGTGATTAGAGGGTATGATTGGTTTGGACATCAGTTCTCCTTTTCACAAAACCATTCAGATAAGCCATACTGCAGGGAAGTTTCTGGTAAATTTTAATAACAATAACCAATGGTAAAATAGGAGAGAGCTAATAAAGAATTTCGAACACAATCAAGATTTCCCAGTTTGCATTTTTATAGAAATATCACAGCAATTTGCACTTAATCTAAAAAAGACATTCTTAAAATTTAGCAGGAGAACCATTAGGCTCCAAAGCCTGAGCCATGGCACATCCAAATGGTTTCTGAAAAGGTGAGGGAGGTAGGTAAATTGGTCAATTCTAATCCAAAAATCACATTACCACTGTCCCACCTAAAGAAATGATGGTCACACACAATGAATTGCATCACATCCTTTTTCTGGACTACTACATAATCAGATATTTTTAAATGCAGGATTTTTCTGTGTTTATCTAACCATCACTTCTTTAGGGAGAGCTGAGAGAGAGAGAGAGAGAGAGAGAAGAGAAGAGAAGAGAAAAGAAGCAAAGTTTCCCCACAGTCTGGCAGCAGGGTGGACTCCTATACCTGGACGATAAAATGACAGCATCCGCAGGAACGAAATCACAGCCATTTATTTTAAAAACATCGCCCACATCAACCTGTGAAAATAAAATGTTTACTGCTGTGCGCTGCCGGTGAAAAACCATCAAAGAAAACATGAGTTCATGAGTAAAAATGCACAGCTGGAAAGACAAAAGGTTAAATACATTAAAGCAGCACATATTGTACAATACTGATGAGGAGACACAGCTGGAGGTTTTTATTCTACTATTGCTACATAACAAGTGAAGTCACTTAGCCAATAATCATAATTCACCAAAGACTGTATTATTAATGTATCATATTTATAAAACGGAGAGGAAATTAGACATGACATTTATATATTTAATACAAAAACATGCTCTACATGAACAAACAATCTCTTTCATATATATTTTTTGAGCCAATGATGTCAATCATAAAATAGTCAAGTAATTATCTCTATGCAGAGGTTCATCAAAATGTTAATGAAGGTCTTAAGCTGATGATGTAATAGAAACTGACAATTTATTTTGAAAGAGCAAGAGTAAATAAGTAAACACTAACACACCAGAACCATGATGATCAGCCTCTTTATTAATAATTCTGATCTCTATATATATATTCAAGTTGTCCTGAAAGAGTCACTACGACCAAACAGAATTGTGGGAGAGAAGCTGCTGTTACAATATGCATGATGAGTTGAATTATTTAAAAACCTTTGCTTTTTAGAGACGATTTCTATGTGTATAAAAAGGAGAGAGATATTAACTGAGCAGAAAGTAACAGTGATTTCCTTCCTGCTGGAACCAAGTCATTACATGAATCAAATATTTTGTTAGTGAATATCTAAAGTCATAGAAATACTCTCTCTGTTTCATAATGTGTTGGCTCTGTTGTGTAGTTTAAGTCAAAATACAGTATGTTCTGATACTATTTTTCAATTCCACATTAGTAGTACCAATCCGATACCACGCATTTTAACAGCTGTGTGTTATTAGCCCTGTACAGAAGTGATGATTGATATTGTTGTGTGGCTCAGGATAATCCCTTTGAATAACAGATACATAGGGTTAGGGTTTCTAACAACAAATACTTCATGCAGTAAATCTTTTCTGTTTTCTGTTCGTCTCATATTCCCGAAGAGCATGAAGGAACATTTAGAATATATTGCAGTGGTACAGTTTACCCTCTAATGGACGAGGTAGTATTACTAATTATTCAACAGTAAAATCACCCTCACTGCTGCCCTGTCTGAGGTTTTTTCCTCCTCCACTCCCTCAGTAATAAAATTGTTTCATTATGAGGGAAGAGAGGAAGCTGCTTTTTGTCCTCCAGCATTGCCGTGTAATGACCGTCCACATGGAAACACTGGATTAATGAGTAGCTGAATACTAGAGGGATCAGATGGTGTGTGTGTGTGTGTGTGTGTGTGTGTGTGTGTGTGTGTGTGTGTGTGTAACGTAGACTGTATGTGAGATTTCTCTAATTGACAACAGAACAATGAATGGTGAGCTGGTAGAATGAATGACGTGTGTTATTCTCCAGATGCAGGAACTGGTACAAATGACATGTAGTGACATGTAGTGACACGTTGTGCGTACATACCTTTTCCCAGTGCACAATTTCCCAGGCACCATTCCTTAATACTGTTGTAGGTCGTGAAGGAGATGAGGAAGTTAAAGTACGAGAGAAAGAGGAAGAGACAAAGAAAAGAAGAAAAGGAAATGGGGATGGATTACAATGCAACAACAAGGTCTACTTGTCTTTTGGAAAATAAAATACCTGCACACGTGATATACAACACACTTTTTTCTATTCAAAACATGTTGTGGTTTACAGTACCTTGACATTCCTTTTTGTTGACAACATTGTCAGCATTATGACGTTTCTGTGTGGGGGAGAGAAGAACAATAATCACACCACTTGATGAAAGTACAGTAACAAACAAAACCAGATAAGATCATTTCCCCAGGTATAGTCCTGGAGGACAACTACCCCTCAGTGAGAGATGTATTAAATCACAGTGTAAAATATGTCTCCACTTCCTCACATTGGGCAAAAATGAAGCAACATTTTTCAGATACAGAGGCAGTCATCTTGACATAATCTGATGCCATATAACATAGAAGTTATCACTGTATGAAGCCATAGAATAGAAATCCCGCACATACACATGCTTGACCAACTGCGAGGTCGTCTCAGCTGATATTCCACCTCGCATCGGAAAATGAAATAATCATTTCTGTGACATAACGTAGATTGGTCCCATTGGCTAACATTGAAGAGGTAAGCGAGGACTTATACCACAACCAGCCACCAGAGGGTGACTTGAGACGCTTTGGCTTTCTTTCGGGGAACCGTCATGTCGTCCATCTTTGGTAAAGACTTTATGTAATGTACGTATGACCATCTTTGGGAAAGATTTATTTGACATGTATTTTGACTTTTTAATCACCTCCATGTCCCATCTGCTGACATGGAGGAGGCTATATGTTTACAACATGCCAGCAGCCAGGGGACAATCCAGATCATTTGGCTTCACTTTTTGGAGCTGTCATGTCATCCATCTTTATTTACAGCCTCAGGGTGTTAGAAAACAAACTAGGCAGAATATACAGTATATACTCCACTTCTGATTCTATAGCAGGAAATGGTATGATGACCATGGCATTGTATAGCTGTACATACTACAGTGAGAGAGGGAGGTTTAAGTCTGTATTACAAGCTGCAGAAAGATCACACCTTTGCACTGACTGCACAGTAGCTGTTAATATTCTCACTGTGGCCACACCCTCTTTTCACACATTCATATCATGCACTATGGCCTTTATCCAAAACAGAATACAGTAACGCGACTGCACAGAGATGTAGCATGGTTGTTTCCAATGACACCCCAATTCCAAGTGATGGTAATGTCCAGCTAAACCGATTTGTACCTCAGCTAACATGGAAAAGACGAGCTATAAAAAAAAAGGACATCTGTCCTGCTTTCTCATGATTTACAGCTGAGACTGACTCGCCACAGGTTGTGTATCAGCAGGATCTTGCAATCATGGCTCCACACCATTGCTCGCTACTTCATAAACTCTGGCTCCAAATGAATGAAAATGATTAATGAAATTAATGAATTACCAAAAATATTGAACTGGTTGGCGTAAATGTTCTTGTGCCTGTCTTCATTGCTTTTATAGCGTACGTAAAGTATCTTAAAGTGAAGTTCCACATATTTACAGACAAACAAACTATATTGTGTCTTCTCAGTAAGACCACATCAACATCCAGATCAGCAGAATTACAGTCCCTTGTGTCCTTCTTGTCTGCTGAACAGTCATGCAGTCAGCTGTGACTTCAACAGCTGATTCCAAGGGACAGCCTGTCAACAAGCATCACGCTGAGTAATAATGTGTTGCTGAGTCCGTCTCACTTAAATAATTTCTGAGTGATTGCTTTGGTGAGGACATGTCCACTCACATCCCTGCTAATTATCTGTTTTCTTTGAAGATTTACTCAAATTTAGTCTAATTATAATGAATTTAAAGCTACTTTGGTTAAATCTGACGCGCCGTGCTATACATTTCAGGAGAAAAGAAAGTCTACAAGGCGCTCACTGAGAAACTAGAGCAGCTCAGGGTGAAGCAATCAATAGGAGAGAGGAGAGGTTTTCTCTCTTCATGACCAGATTTCACCAGTGACTTGAAGAGTAGCAGCCTAACAAACTCAAATATATCTGTCTAATGCTACAGCTGTTATATCTCAGTCCCATCAAAACGTATAGCATATATGTCCTTTGACCAACAACCTTTTTAAAGCATCAAAAAAACTGAATCTGCTCTGAAGTTTTTTCTTGCACTAGTTTGAGCCACTCCTTTAGCTTCATCTCTCTTCTTCTCCCTGCCATCTGCACCCACCCTTCTTCTTCTTCAGGCTCCAGTTGAATCAAATTTAGGTTAAATATCCCTGCAACATGCTATAGCGTCTGCTGAATTGGTTGGTTGTGTCACATGGTTTGAGTTTTTTATCAGCTCCACTATGACCAGAAATAAAGTTTGCTAGTAAACCTCATTCATCATCCCTCTGATGCTGTCAGCTACTTTCATTCATCTATACTATCTGTGCTCGTTGTACAGACCCTCTGCTATTCATAAATGTGTAGAAACAGCTCTCATATACTTATATCTAGTTACGTCCTTCTCAAATTCTGTCTGTCTTTGCCCTTCTTGCTACATTTGTCCCGTTGGACATGCAGCAAAAGAGACGTACTGTATTTAGATGATGTGTGTAATCACAGTGCAGTGGAGAGCGAGTGGCACACAGAGCGTATGCATGAATACTGCAGTATCAGGCCTCTGTAGACCTCAGCTCTAGAGGAAGGGAAAAATGAAGCGAGCAGTGAGAGATAAAAAAGCTAGAGCATCTGCAATGTTGCCTTGATTAACCTGCTAATGTGGCTTCAATATATAAACGTAATGAGACAGTGAGCAATGAGCAACGAGGTTTAACCACGCAAGGTGCTGACAAACCTTTTAAAGATTAGAATGATTTAAATTTAGGACCTATGACAGGTACAGATTTGAAGGAATATCAGAGTCTGAGAATTAGACACCACAATATCTTGTATTGAAATAAATTCTGACCAGGGTGTTTGTATCAGTTTGCTATTTTAAAGCAATTAAGACTTTCTATGGCCTGGAATTCAAGTTATAATTTTTTAAGATTGAGTGGAAACCCTAAAAGTATCTCTCAAACAGTGAGAGTGTGGTGCAGCACAGAGAGCCAGCAACAAGGTAAGGTGCACGCTGTACATCGTGCGTGTGTGTGTCCCTAGTGCATGATTCATGAAGTCAGGGTCGATGTTGCCCTGGCAGGTCAACTTGTGAGGGACAGCGCAGTACAGGGAGCAGACGTGTGCGCAGGTGACCTTCAGCAATAAAGACAGAGTCATCACCACTCTGTTCCCATGTTTTTCACAACAGGCCGGGAGGAAAAAAAGTGCTGCGCTGGTCCCTTCAGCATGAGATAGAAGCGTATTGTATAGAGTAACTGTCCACTGGGACCTGCACAGAGGATCGCATTGCAGGGTCACTGCAATACAGTAGAATGCAACATTCACTGACTTAGTGCAAATGGACTTGAGCGGATCACTCGTGGACCAAGAGTGACAAAACACATTTTGAAGCCACTAAACAAGAGATCATATAATAGAAACACTCAACCATATTAAATCGTGCTAAATAAACTGCATTTGCCTATTTTTTTAATGATCTGTGTAACAGCTCAGTCTTGCTCGAGGGCAAACAGTTAGTTGTTTTGTTTTGTACTAACTGCCTTTGTTTAATTGACTCAGTGAGTTCTCTGGGTGCAGTCGGCACAGCTGTGACCTCTAAAATCAGCCTGTGTGTGTGCATTTGAATGTCTATGTCTGATGCGGTGTCTATATGTTGGGGAGCATCCTGCTGGGGTCATGTAACCATCACTGTCTCCTCTCTCCACAGGGACCAGTCCAGGACATACTGTACAGTAAGAGACTAAACAAATGCCCACTTTCTACAAGCAGACAGTCTGCATGTTACGGTAAATTGACTGAGGAAAGTGACAAAATAGTTCACAAAGAATTCAATTTTATGTTATGAAGTTCATGAACTTTATGCACTCAGATACCTTTCCTTTAATAAGTGGCTATCACAAGTAGCTACTTGGTTGGTGGCATACGATACCAATAGAAAAATGGATTGGAAAATATAGAAGATTAAGATATAAAAGTTGTTGACAATTGAGTCTTCAAAAGCTTGTTGTTAGGCTTTTAATAATTGCTGGCTGCCTCATATTTTTTAATCAGGGTCTCACTGATGTGTGCGGCCAGATGAGTGGTCTCAGGTTATATCAAGACAGTGTTTCCAACAGAATAAATTAAGTGGCGGCAGCAGGGTTGCACGTGCACATGTACGAATGCTGCTCTCACATGCAACAGATTCAGAATGACACATACAAGGACTAAAGACTGAAAGAGAACGTCTCATGAGGGAGGGAGAACTGCTTTGCATGTCAGGACAAGGACGTGCACAACTGCAGCTAAAACTATGAGGTTCGACTGTTAACGTGGATAGTAGAAAGATTATAGATGATAGCAAGACACGAGCAAGCACGCAGCAAAAAGCTCTGCAGATAGCAGTGCACACAGCTATACAATGCAGAAACAGAGGAGCAACACACTAAGTTGGTTATCTCTTATGTTATGAGGAATGTAAAAAAAAAAAATCTCCCAACTGCGATTGGACAAATTACAATATCATGGGCCACCAGTCTAGATAATAATAAGAAGAAGAAGAAGACGAAACATTGCCATAACATTGTATATTTATAAAAAAGTCAAAACCCTGTTTCATAAGAACAAACATCTCTTTGTGGAGACAATCAAGACTTGAATCACCTATCATCTATTATTTAAAGTCTAACTTACCAGATCCTCAATGATCTCTTTGACAGCAGCCACCACCAGGATGAAGAGCAGCGGCACCAGTGTGGTCCACCGACCAGTGGGAGACACGTCTGGGATTTGCTGAAAGAGACACAATAAAGGAATATCAAGTCAAATCCTTGCATTCTTTTCCTTCAGAGTATAAGATTAACTCCAGAAGCCAAATTTCCAGGTACTCTCATGGCTGGCAGAGATAATAACTGAACCAAGCAGGGCCAAACCCACTAAAGCTGCCAAATACGTTATACCTGAATTAAACGCATGGACCTGTTGGCTCATTTTAGGATTCTGAAATGGCTTACGATTGTGAATTGTGGATATATCACACAAACAATAAAAGTTGTGAGTATGGGATATAGGCAGAAATCTTAACTTAAGAGGAAAATGACAGCTATCAGGAAATACTACAGCAAATATTGTTGGAGTACATTTAATGCCTATAATAATACTCAGATGGTATTACAGGAGCTGTGCCCAGTGGGGATGGCTGTATAAAGAAATCCATGACGAGCTTAAGTCGAAAAAAACAACTAGTGTCAACTGAAACTTGACGCCAGATCTTTTGTCTCTCACATCATATAAGTTTACGTCATTATTTCAAACTTTGGCAGAGTTTAATATTGGCATCCAACATTGTACATGACAGAAGATACGGAGAAGCATAATGAGTCCCCTTTAATTCAGAGCCAGGGCCACCGAAATGGATCTTTTCTCTTCCTCATCTGCATGGATGTTTTATTCAAGGTCGCAGAATTGACAGGGCAGGTAATGAAGATTCACACTGGCTGCTTTTCAAAGCAGCAACGTCAAGGTCACTGGATAGAGGCCCTTTGCTGTCGTGGTTTTCAGTTTCAGACGGCTCATTCATCCTTTCATTAATCTAGCCCACTGTTTATGCATTTATGTTTTAATTGTGCTCGTCATTACCGACCCTGATACTCTGACCTGGCTGCCTTTAGAGTCACCTGACCTGCTCACCTGTTCCCCTTTCCCTCATTAGCTTCCTGATATATGTATATATCATTCAGTTTCCACTTGCTCTGTGCCAGATTGTCTTTGTACGAGCTTTAGTTTTCCAGCTTTCTGTTCTTTGCCTTCAAATGTGTTTTGGATCTTGTCTTTGGCCTTCGTCTGCCTGCCTGGATTTGTGTCCTTGTTATGGTAAAAGATTTGACTTCCTCCTGAGTCACGTTTTATAGGTCTGTTATCTGAGAACCCTGACTGTGACACTTCCATGTCCTCTTAGCTCTCACTTGCGTGGGGTAGCAGGAATACAGGTAAAGACAAAACCTACGCAGCCTTCTTCCTCAGGTTTATTTAATTTTCTCCTAAGCTGTGAACACGAGACATGGACTTTGGCGCCTTATTGTAATGAATTGTGCCGAGAACAATTGATTCCGACCTTTACATTCTCACATACAACCACTCCAGCTTTAGACTATTTTTATGTGTTTCCTCAGTCCAATGCACTGTAGTGGTACTGGTACAGCAAATTACTGACCAAATTACATGCATCCACAGCATGTGATACAGTATGTAGTGTAGTGTGCTGAGCCTGCGGGCAAATCTAGTTTCCTAGGAGGCACACATAATATTACATGTATTATTCATTATCAGGATATATAAAGTACTCGTGTGTGTATGTTTGTATAAGCTTGACTGTGTGCAGATGGAATTACAGATATGACATTTGGAAATAGTGTGTAGGTTATGACAAACGAGCAGCAGTTTTAATATTAATATATGATATACTAATTATCTGTGTATTTAAATCACAGCAGCACAGGGGAAAAAATCTAAACTGTCTCTTACCTGCAAGAGTGCAATGAAGAGAAAGAAAGCGTTGGCTGCCCTCCTGAACTGTGAGTAGAGGAACCGGGGAAGGAAGGTGAGGACATTGTATTTTGCTGTGCTGGAGAGCGGATCAAGCGACAAACACGGTGATGGATAGGTGGTGGAAGAAGGAGAGAGGGGACACAAGAGAGAAACAAAATGGTTAGTTACAGAGATCAGACAAGTCATTTTTACGTTTTAATAAAATGCACATATTCAGCATAACGATTTCCTTGTCCCTTCCACTCATCATTTGTACAGGGTCCTGTACACAGATGTGTGTGTGTGTGTGTGTGTGTGTGTGTG